TCAGCCATTAAAGGCTAGGCTCACAACCAAAAGAAGCTTAATGCCAATAGCGAAGGAGGTATAGAAGAAACATCAAGGCAGGGAGAGTAAGTAGGAGGAAGAATTTAGACTTGAGAAGAGGAAAGAAAGGGAAACAACAGGGAGACACCAGAGGCCAGACAGACAGATATGGAAGAAGCAGGACAGCAGGACATACAGAATGAAAGAAAGATAAAAAATACCAAGGCAAATGTAGATGAACAGAAACAGGTTAAATTAAGTAAAAAGAGCTGAGCATTCATGATTAATAATAAATCTTCATGTCTTTCTTTGCAAGTTGGTTGCCTATGCAAAGTTAAAAGCTTAACTAGTTAGCCATCTCTCTAACCCTCTTCGTGTATTGTTGTTGCTGTTTCATTTGTTTGGAGATAGGGTCTCATGATCTAACTCTGACTGGCTGGGAACTCACTATATAGACTAGATTGGCCTCAAACTCCCAAAGAGTGTCCTCTCTATACTTCCTAAGTGCTGAGATCCTAGGCGTATGCCGCCATGCACAAATTTTTTAATGTGTTTTTAAATAGACCACATAGTTATGCTTAAGGTACTATTACTAATCTGTGAGACTGGGCCATCTCAGCCGGCAGCCTTGAAGTTATTCTGAATGCAGAACTCTGAAGAAACTTCAACAGAGGCGCTCTGAAAGGCTGGATCACTTGGGCCTACCATTTTCATTGGTGTTTGGTCTCCTTGCTCTGAAAACACACAAACTTTCAAAGGTCATGTACATATCTGCACTAACACAAGTATGGACTGCACATTGTATGCAAGCCAGCCAAAAAAGCTTTTGTGTGTGTGTGTGTGTGTGTGTGTGTGTGTGTGTGTGTTATGTATGAGCAAGTAAAATATATCTGTCAACTTTATAAGTTATTTGGACTGGATAAGCAAACATCTATCCATACCATATGAAGGATGGCATGTAATGATAAGTCATGAGGGCTGTGTGAACAAGACATCTTATGTCTCATTCAGTCTCAGAGCTGTTCCCACATCAAGGGATCAGCATATACATCTCCTGTCTTTTAGGTTTATTTCGTTATTATCTGTAGCCAAGATTTTCAGGGCTTTTCCAAGTCAAATTTGGTCTTTATTAAATTTAAAGGAATTCACACCCTTTCATTTCCTATGGAAGCAAAAGCATAAACTCTCTCCCAATGCAATACATTTTCTGAATTTCCTTTTGGAGTTAAGACATCCCTAAGGTTTCTAGACTGGTTTAATCCAGCAGTGCCTTTTATAGCCCCATGTTTCTCAGCAGCTCTCATCTACTCATCAGCAATCAAAAATTCAAAGTCAACAAATCCCAGACAGGATCCAGATTCTCTGTGTATTTCCCGTCTTCACATAGCTTGCTTTTTTTTTATGTTACTATACTCTTTTAAGACTTTACTTAATTATCTTTGTTTATGTTTTCCTTTGACTGTCTATATTAACTTTCTTTTCTTTGTTAAGCACCTACACACGGTTTAAATTCTTTTTCAGTCTGTACCTGTTTTACTATGCACCTGTAGCCTTCTCTAACTGTGTGAGACTAATATTAAACTCTTCGAGCAGCAGCTAGGCCTCTGCCATGCTGCCCTGGAAGTTGGCTCAGGTCGATGAGAACCGAGCCTACTGTGAAGAGCTCTTTTTTTCCTTAATTTAACCTGTTTCTATTCACCTACATTTTGACTCAGGGCTTTTTGCCTTTCTTTCATTCTGCTTCTTCCTTTTATGGCTGTCTGGCCCCTGTCATCTCCTTTCTTTTTCTTCTACCCAAGCCTAAATTCCTCCTCCTCCTTTCCCTGCCTGGAAGTTCTGCCTATATATCCATCCTTGCTATTGGCCATTCAGCTTTTGATTAGACCAGTCAGGTGCCTTAGACAGGCAAGGTAAAAGGGCAACACATTTAACATCATTAAACAAATAGAGCATGCCTTTACATAGTTAAATGCAGCATATCTTTGCACAGTTAAATATTCCTCAACAAAGAGTAATGGATGCCCCCTCAGAGGACCGTAGTTTTGTTCCTAGCATCCACATGATGATTTATAATCATCCATAACTCCAGTTCCACAAGATCTGATGTTCTGACGTCTGTGGGCAGCAGGCACATACACGGTACATAGACATATATGGTACATAGACATAGATGGAGGAATAGCATTCAAATACATAAATAAATATTCTTTTAAAAATACACATAAAAAGCAAATCTAGGCTTGTCTAAAACAGCCATTCTAGGATATGAGGTTTTTTTATTTAATTTCTTTATAAGTGTAATATGAGACACAAGTTCTGATAAACATGTATTTATGAAAACATAAATTCAAACATCAAGATTAATTTAGTGCACTAACGATGTTAAGTCTCTTATTATAGTGACTGTAATATCTCTCATTAAATCATCCTGTGCATCTTTGGGCAATTCAGAGCAATCTTTTTATAACAGGAAACAAAGATGTTGTCAATCCTTACAAACACGTACAGATAAACAGAGGGAAGTGATATGTCAAACTGTGTTTCTAAATTGTGGATACAGTCTTACTTTAAAAAATGCTAAGATATCTACAAAACACTCATAGAAATAGTGATTTAGTTTAGATAGATTGTAGAACACAAAGCCAATATTTAGAACTCAGTTATATTTCAACATTCTAAAATTTAAAAAATATCACATTTACTTCAGAAAGCACAAACTGTTTGGAGATACTTAATTGCTTAAGGCCTGTGATCCGAGAAAGTAGAAAGTAAGAAAGATGTCACGTGTTCATGGACCACATGAGCTCATACTGTCAGGGTGGCTTTTCAAAACAGTTCCAGGTCAAACCCTGCTGTGCTTTCCTGGAGAAAGTGCCAGGCTGATTATAACCTCTATATGCAAATATAGAGGAAAGACACACAGAGGTCAAGAACTTAAAGCCTAGTTTCAAAATTAACTGTGTAACAATCGTGGGAGTGTTGTGTCGGCAAAAGTATAAACACATATGGGTGGCAAAGACTGCAAAGTCTAGAAGTTGTCTCACAAATGTAAAATCAACTGATTTGCACAGTGTAATAAAGCAATCCAGTGTTTGCCAAAAACAGTCTTTGTGTGTGTGTTTATTGATTATATTGAGTTATACATTTTTCCCTGTTTCTCTTCTTTCCTTTCCCCTTCCCTTCTACCCTCTCCCATGGTTCCCATGCTCCCAATTTACTAAAGAGATTTTGTCTTTTTCTACTTCCCATGTAAATTAGATCCATGTGTGTCTCTCTTAAGGTCCTTATTGTTGTCTAGGTTCTCTGGGATTGTAAATTATGTCTAAATTATGTAGACATAATTCTTTTGCTTTGTGTCTAAAAGCCACTTATGAATGAGTACATATGATATTTGTCTTTCTTGGTCACTCAATATGATGTTCTCTAGATCCATCCATTTGCCTGCAAATTTCAAGATATCATTTTTTTCAGCTGTGTAGTACTCCATTGTGTAACTATACCACATTTTCCTTATCCATTCTTCGGTGGAGGGGCATTTAGGTTGTTTCCAGGTTCTGGCTATAACAAACAATGCTGCTATGAACATAGTTGAGCACATGTCCTTGCGGCACGATTAAGCATCCTTTAGGTATATACCTGAAAGTGGTATTGCTGGGTCTTGAGGAAGGTTGTTTCCTAATTTTCTGAGAAATCACAGTTTCATATAAGTGAAACTCCCAGAGATTAGTGTGGGACCAGAGTGAAGAAGTTTTCTAGAAAATAATATAAGGAAATGCTTTGGGTTGATAGACTTTGCCCATATTTTCATTGATATAGTGATCATGGGCCTTTGTGTTTGTTGTTCTTATTGTATCAAACATTTAAAATAGGTGTGTATTACTGAATATGAATAATATTTGACAAAGAAAATCTGGAGGATCCTTTTTATACTTGACTCCCAAAGAGAAATGAGATGATGAACATCCGAGCCTAATTCTAAGCCAAGTCTGGTCTGTTGGAAACTGTATGAAAGTGTTTTGGAAAGGAATTAACTAGAAACATCTAAGAACAAATAATTTGATCTTCATTGTCCTTATACAGAAAATGGTGATCTACATGGTTTAAGACTGAATAAAACAACATCCTGTAGTCAGGGGATATGCTTAACAATTAAGCGTAGAAAATACTGAGCATCACATTTAAAATAATGATTCTAAGTGGTGTTTAGGAACCATATACTATAGGCATATTATTTGCGTTTTGAAAATAGAATCATATGTTAATGTGAAAGAATATGCCATGCTATATAAAACACATAATACTGACAAAGGTTGATCATAAATGATATGACTTAAAGAAAGTTAACGTTTTTCCAGTTTATTTCTTTTAACTTAGCATCTTATATGAATTAATATCAACAGATATTTTCCCATTGTTTTTTGATCCACTGTCTTCCTAACATTTTCAAACACACACACACACATACACACACACACACACACACACACACACACACACACTTTACCACCTTTTTCTATAATTTTTTTGTTAAAAACAAATTGCAATAAAACCCTTCTATTTCTTCTTATCAACAAAGTCCTAGAAATTCAGCAAAAGGCAACGTCCCTCAATTAAGCACCTAATGTGGGGCCCGCTACAAAATACTTTTTTTGCAATGTTATGGGACATTTTTATAGAAATGTTTTGGATCATCAGGTCCAGGTGACTACATCCTGGCTTCCATTTCTTGAGTCATCAAAATGTGTAAAGTACTGCACAGATTGCATCTGTTATGACTTTCCTGAGTGTTCATCCTTCGTGGAATGTCCCTGATTTTTGCCCTTCTTTTTTCTTGCTTAGCTGTGTGTGGAAAGTGTTTCCCTGGCTGAGTAAACCGATCGTCTCTTAGCTATCAGCAGTAGTGCTTTCTAGTCAAAATAGACTCTGCGCTGGCTTGAGTGTGACCATTCTCCTTAGCTGGCTGACTGTGACTGCGTTACCCTCTCTTAACATTTCCACAGGTTTGTGATTGGGCGAGAAAAACCAGGACAAGTGAGTGAGGTTGCCCAGTTGATAAGCCAGACCCTGGAGCAGGAGCGGCGCCAGAGGGAACTGCTAGAACGCCACTATGCGCAGTATGATGCGGATGATGATGAGGTAGGGAGCACAGCTGTTTCTTCTCAACTTCTCACCATGATGCTCCTGTCTCACAGGCTCTGTATAGTCTCCGAAGGAGGACGTCTTCTACGCCGAGCTGAAATTCAACCGCTTGGAAAAGAAATACCACTTGTATCTGATATTCTCTTATAAGTTGATTCATGATTCCTAGAACACTATGGAAGCAAATCATTCTTAACTTTTTAACAAACTATTGGAAAAAATTCATAGAAACAAGCAGAACTTTTATAAATAATGGCTGTCTGTATTGTTGGAATTAGATGGTTTTTCTTTCTGCTTTGTATGTTTTCAATCATTTCCAAATGGTCTAAAATAGTTTGTAATACTTTTTTCCCTTTGGAAGAATCAATAAAACATTTAAACGAACACACACACATACACAAGCATAGACAGAAAAGCAAGGGAGATGGCTGAGGATTTCCAGAGGCTCCCCCCTCACCCCAGGAAGAGAAAGTTTTTTGGATGTGCTTGCAGGGATCTGTGCTAACATAATGCAGAGCAGAGCATTTCCCCTCGTGTATGTCCCATGGCACAGGTACATATTGGAATGATCTTACATCCTGAGCTCTGTGGAAGATCAAGTCAATGAGTCAACACTAACCCCCCAGTGAACACGGCTCTCCGGAACCCTTGTGTGCTATAATGAGACACAGACGCTGCGCTGTTTCTAATGTCAATTCCAAGTGCACACTGATAGGCTGGGACAGCACACTTTATTACAAACACATTCAAACGTACATATGTTTCATATTGGCATGTCAAAAGATTCATCAGTAATTTAGTTGTAGTATTTCATACTTCATACACGTGTAAATGCTCCGAAAAAATAAATATTCTTTATGTCAGCTGATACAGCACAGGGAGATTTCATACCTTCAACTTCTGCGCACCTGAATATATTATTTATCCAGACTGTGTTTTTGCTTTTATCTATGACACAGAAAGAGATTAATGAGTGGGCATTCAGGTCTTTTTCATGTATATTTAATTTAGCAGGCCTTAATCCAAATATATATTAAATTTTCATGTGTTTGCGGTATAATGAGGACATAGTCTCCATTTGTTATGTTAACAAATTGCAGGTCACATATCAATTAACATTTTATTTTGTTCTGTTTTTATTTGTTTCTTGAGACAGGTTCACCTTATGTGAAACCCTGCCCAGGCTGTCCTTGAACTCATAGCAGCTCTTTCCCTCAGCTTCCCTGCTTTTGGATTACAAGTGTGAGCCACCATACTTGGCATCGTTCAACTTTGGACAAAGAATGATACAGCAGAGAGATTATCCATGACTGAAATAGTCTTTTAGAATTATTTTCCCCGTTTCATTTTGTACTTACGGAGTATATTTGGCCGCAATTTCCTTGTACTGGAATACGAAGTCAAAAATACATTATCTAAAAATTTGAAACTAAACAGATGTCCTCAAATATTTGGCCTAGTTTTCAATTCCCTACTCTAGTGTTTGCTGTTTTACTAGAAGCATCTAGGCCTACCGTAGGATTATAGAACCATTTTCTTCAGGTGTGGATTTTCACTTCTCTCTGATAGAATTTTGTATTAGATGGTCTGGGTACTAGAGAAACATCAAGTGGTGGAAAAAAAGAGAAGCCCCGCTAAGACTGTGTGCCACTGTGTTGCTGGCTATAAAGTACAGACGTTAGGCTACATCAGAACGCCTGTTGGCTCATGGTCCACACTTAGAAAGTAAGCACTCAGTCTGGACCAAGATGTGGGAGCCTGCTGGTAATGCCTGCCCTGAGGAAGCCGAGGAAAGAGGACAGAAGAGCTTGAGTCCAAGGTCTGTCTGTTACGGTGTTGATTTTGTTTTGTTTCTCTGTGTTTAACTAAAGAGAATAGGTTTACAAGTAAGGGGGGTTGCTAAAGTAATCTAGACACTGTAAACCTCCTCTAAAGTTCGCTATCTCATAATCATGTTTCTTCCAGTTACTTTGAGGAATTGACTGATCACAATCAGCCAACCTAAAGTTTCAACATAAGCTTCTAAAGTCTCTCTTTCTCCCCCCTGCCCCTGTGTGTGTGTATGTGTGTGTGTGTGTGTGTGTGAGAGAGAGAGAGAGAGAGAGAGAGAGAGAGAGAGAGAGAGAGAGAAATGGGGAAGGAGAGAGGAGAGAAGGAAGGAGGGAAGAGAGAAGAGAAATAGAAAGGGGTAGATGGAAAGTGATTTTCCTCTAAATTCATAGTTTGAATAAATGAAAGAATTATTTATTTGTTTATTTAAGAAAAGCAAAGAGAGTTCTTTGCTAGTTGAACATGTGCTTTTAGGCGGAGAAGAGTGAGTGAAACTGGGATGATAAACTTTTCTGGGATTCGATCTCATCAAGCCTTTAAAGCACTCTAGAGAGAGGGATTCCCCTGCAGCTCCAATAACCAGGGTGTTTTTCCAGCTGTCTGACTAGTTGTTGGCAGTCTCAGATTGGTGCTCTCTCCCTGGCCCCAGAGCCTAATGCGCTGTGCAGGTTTTAGGTGGAGCACACAGAACACCCTTCATGGCTCTCTCTCTATTCAGACCAAGGATAACTGGACAACAAAAGGTGTGAAAGTGATTCTTGTCGTTCCTCAGGTCTGTGAGCCTTTGTTCTGTGTGACTATTAATAGGGACAGTGCAAACTTGGCTACCTGCTTTACTGTAGTCAACCATGTGTACGTATCATCCGATAGAGTCTAAAGAGATCAGCTGATCGAGACATGTTTTACAAAGGATTGAGTTAAATGTTCTCTTCCTTTATACATTGTAACAGTCGAAATCTGGAGCTCAAGACTGTTTTAATGCAGGTAACATTGACCTTCTTTAGTTGGACTTCCCTTGTGCTCTTTGTCCAGTGTCCCCCTTTCCTAGATGTTCCACAGTGCCTTCTCACAGAAGTCACAAGGAAAACAGCCATTAGTCTTCTGTTCACAGCAGAGATGGAAGTTGTATAAACATTGAAATTTACTCCACTGTTAGAACTTCCAATAGTGGCACTTGATTCAAATTTTTAATTAATGCTACCAAATATTAAGTTGGGGGATGAGGGTTTTATCTCTGTTTTCTGTTTTCTCTCTTCCACTGTTAATGAAAAATAAAATGACTAAGAAGTGAGTGAAATGAGAAGGGCCAATATTGGATATCCAGTGGTTAGACGGGCCTTGAATAATTGATTTAATTTCATATATAATTGACCAGTTTATTGATTTCCGTATCTTTGTTAGGACAGGCCTGCCTGAACATGTACAGTCAGTCACAGGCCTTTTCACTTTTCTTATAATTCACAGAATCATCTTGTAATTTCAAATTTAGAATCATTTTATTTGCTAATATCTCCTGTGACCTTGCCTGAGTACAGCCAGGAAACCCTCTGATTACACAGAGCACCAAGTTGAACTAGCCACTTTCCAAGCGAGGGCGGAGATGAGTCTTGCCCACAGAAGGGTGCAAGGCTTCTGTTTTGATCAAATTATGCAGGGTTCATTTTAACTCGGAGCACTTCACATTGACAGGTTGCTTGAGTTGTCTGTACAGGAAACATCTGGATGCAGAATAGTTCCTGCAGTTGTTAAAGGACACTGGCCCTTTGTGAAGGGAGATTGTTGTGCATGAGATTTCTGTTCATCTGCGGTAACGCTTTAGGAAATTGTAAGTCATGCTCTAGTAGAATTGGAAATGTATAGATAATCCTCCAACTATTTAAATTTCTGCTGCTTCTGCTTTTCTCCAAATATTTGAACTAGAAGAGTTTCCAATAAGCAAACAGCCAATTCTGTTTGAATTTGCATTCCTGTTTCTGTGCGCTCTGCTAACCATTCTAATTTGGAAAAGCACAAGGGGCCCTGCCTGGAGGCCGAAGACTAGGAGGGGATCCCTCAAAGAGCAGGAGATGGAAATCTGAAGGCTGCGATGGGTGACCGCATGTCTGCTTTTAGGAGAACTGATAATCTCACTGGGATTGTTTGTTTCCTCCCTCCCTTCCCTCCCCTTCCCTTCCGTACTCTTCCCTCCCCTCCCCTCCCCTTCCCTTTCCTTTCCTTCCCTTTATTTGTTTCTCCCTTTTCTTTCTTTCCAATTTGAAAGGTAACCATGGAGGATTTAATAAAACCCTCAGTTAACACCATGCCATGAAACACTGAGTCTATGGTAAAATTTTCAAGTAGAATTTAACATTTAATCTCCCATTATAATCTATAACTGTCGATGTTCACCCGACAGTGGCTAGGTGATACTCCTCTGTTATTTACTTTATGGAGTGTATTTGTATTTTCGCTGTATTTCTACATAAGAACAGTATGCAGTTTGAAGTGCTGTGAGCTGAGGCTGGAAACAATATTAACTGCACTTGTATCTCTGGTTCAGAAAATAGGTATGGTCACACTAAGTTAAAAGGAGTCAACTTACAAACTTTTTATGATTATTTTAGTTCCTTAAAGATCCTTTGATAATGGAGTGTTTGTCACATTGTAAAGCATATATCACAAATGACATTTCAACCTCTCTCTAGGCAACATGATTCATCATCAGCAGAAAACAGCTCTCTGTCTTAAAATACAACTTATTCTTTTCTTTTATTATTTATTTTTGTTGCTAGAATTCCATATCATTTTAATAATATTTTGACACTTTGCTTCTTAGGATCTTTCATGGATGGTATGAAATACCCACAGGAATATTTGTTTTTATTGCTTCTGTTAGCATCTAACAATTGGAAGCAAAAGTTTAATGGAAACTGTGGTTGCATAAGTATTAAAAATGGTTTACAAAAGTAATTTTTTGTGGGGAAAACATTGTAGAGCTAATACTGAGTTTGACTCAGGCTGTTTGCTGTTCCTCGTTAGAAACAGCTTGTTGTAGGTGAGGAAGAGATAGCAATGTTTGTTGCTCGCCTTTTAACACTGTGCATATGCCAATGCAGAGAGACGCCACCCTGTGTCTGCGACCTAGGGAACTGGGCGAGGAGGTGCAGCAGTCTCTTCTCGGTACTGGACAGTGTGTGGTCCAGCCAACACTTGAACCTTGATGTTTTTCTATCCTGCTCTTGGGCTTGGGGGGAGCCTTCTTTAATTGTTTCTGTCAACTTTTTAGAGCACTGTGGCTGAATTGCAAGGAATGTCTGGCAACTGCAATAACAATAACAACCATTTCCTTAAGGTTTGTGTTTTGGCAGAAAAATCTGCTTATCTGTACGCTCTTGCTTGGTGTGTGAAATTAAATATTCTACAAGTCTTATTAACTTCCTATTCCCTGAAAAGCATTTTTGGAGCTGTGTGTTTTGTGTATTGAATAATAATCTGAAAATCATGGTTAGAAAAATAGAATGTGCCTTTTATGTACAAGTCTGTAAGATGGACTCACTTCCTCTTAACCACGGGTATATTTAACCCCTAATCCTTTAAATGTTTTGTGATTCAAAAAAAAGAGGGGAAACTTTACAAAGAAACTCAGTATTAGGACTGTGTTTATGTTTTACAGTCTACATAACAATTTATTTTCTGCTTAAATCTGTTTTTGTTTTAGAAAAGAATCTTCTGATATTAACTGATTTCTTAAGTTTTCACTATATGTTTGGATGAACATACAGAATAGACAGACAAAAATAGGTAATGAACTTTAATTAGTCATAAAAATAGTGGCGCATCCAACAGACTTGTGTGTGGTTAATAGGGTCCTGATGAGAGGGGTCTGACAGCACAGAGCTCAATCCTAATAGTGGTCCAGAGGCTGTGATTCTTAAACTATATGGAGAGTAAGAGTTAGGGCAGGAACCTTTGCCTCTGCATGGTCTTCCTTTCGTACCTCATTTCCTTATAAACCTGTGTGGTTTATAAGAATTATAATGGAAATGATTTAATTATATTTTTCCTGTCCCTTTCTTTCTGGCTGCCACAGTATACATTAGTCATTTCTGTGCTAGATCCTAAAGCAACAGAAAACTTACTTGTCAGATCCTTCTAGCCCAACATATTTATCTGAAAGCATAGACTTTGTCTGCCTGGTGGTGTGTGTGAGTGATTCTGTATCACTCTGAAAACCACAGAGCCTGAAGTCAAAAGAGGTGGCGTGTGGACTAATATAGATGATATTATCCAACTTTGAAAATATTTTATTTTCAAAAAAAAAGTTTTCAAAGTTGAATGTAATTTTAACCGAAAGACTTGAGAAGTGCTGAATCACAGAAGGAAAGCCACTTGCTTTCCAGCGAGCGGTCATTGTACAGTGGGAGGCTTGTTCTCTTGTCTACCTGGACTGGCATTCACTGCAGAGATTCTTGGTTGTCTTGCATGTCTACATCATCTTCTTTGCTTTTCAGGGCTCTGTTTGAGCTTGGTCTATTCACCAACCCCTCTGGGGTTCTCTCAGAAGCTAAACTCAGAGTCTTCTTCTTCTGTTTTTAATGAGCCAATAGCACCATGGGCATCCCAACATTTTTTTGCTCATAAATATCTTCCATTAGCTTATTGTCTCGACAGTCACAATTATCAATGGTTAGTTGATTTCTACTTCTCACAGGAATGACCGCATCACTGGGAAAAGTAGACAAAACCAAAAAATTGAACAGAATTTTTTTTTATAAATATTTATTTATTTATTATGTATACAATATTCTGTCTGTGTGTATGTCTGCAGGCCAGAAGAGGACACCAGACCTCATTACAGATGGTTGTGAGCCACCATGTGGTTGCTGGGAATTGAACTCAAGATCTTTGGAAGAGCAGGCAGTGCTCTTAACCACTGAGCCATCTCTCCAGCCCCAAATTGAACAGAACTGAATCATATCAAGAAAGTAAAAATAAATTTGGAAAATAACTCTCATTTGCATTTTCCTGATGGCTTAGGATGTTGTACACTTTTAAAAATATTTATCGCTAATTTCTAAAAATATTTCTCATCTCTGGGCATGGTGGGACAGGCCTTAATCCCAACAATTGAGAGGAAGAGGCAGGTGAATCTCTGAGCTCAAGGACAGCTTGGTCTACAGGGAAAGTTCCAGGACAACCAAGGCTACACAGTGAAATCCTCTCTTGAAAAGCAAAAGAAAATAAGCAAAAAAAAAAAAAAAAAAACCTCTTACCTGTTGGTATTTCTTCTTTTGAGAACTCTTTGTTCAGTTCCATAGCCCATTTTATAAGTTGGATTTATTATTTTCTTCGTGTTTAGTTTTTTTTAATTCTTCATATATTCTAGACATTAATCTTCTGTCAGTTTTGTCCCATTCTGTAGGTGCCTCTTCAGTTAATAACTTCTTCTGTGGTACAGAGATGGTTTTAGTTTCATGAAGTCCCAATTATTGGTATTTTGTCCCATTTCTTGCTTCCTTACCTGAATCCATACATTGCTTTTGGTTGAATGAATATATTTTACAGTATTAATTTTACCAATCCATGAACATAGGGGTTCTTTCTGTCTTTTAAGGTCTTCTTCAATTTCTTCCATCAATATTTGAAAGTATTTATATTAGGCACTTTATATTCTTGGCTGGGTTTATCCCAAGGTATTCTTTCTTTCTTTTTGAGGCTAATGTGAATGGGATTATTTCCTTGATTCTTTTTCCAGTGTGCAATTTTGGTGGGTAGGAAGGTAACTGCTGATTAGAGCACAATGCTTTGTAATCTTCCACTTTGTCAAGAAAGAACATCAGCTCTAGGAATTTCCTGGTGGAATCTTTACAGTTCCTTATATGTAGAGTCACATTATCTGCAAATAGGGTTACTTTGGCTTCCTTTCCTGTTTGTGCCCCCTTTTTTTCCTTGCCTGATTTTTTTTTTTAACTCAGGCTCTATTTTAAATGAGAGTGATGGGAGTGGATGCCCTTGTTCTGTTCCTGATGGATGTCTCAAGTGTTCCTCCATTGACATGATGGTGGCTGTGGTTTGTCATATACAGCCTTCTTTAAGTTGAGGTGTCTTTTCTCCATCTCTAGTCTTTCCAGGACTTTTATAATGAAGGAATGTTAGCCCTCTGAGGAGCTGTTGGCTGTAGTTGATGGCTTCTGGCAAAGAGGATTTCCCTGCCCCTCGAGTGTGTTCCCCGGTAGGTCACCCATTTCTCAGTGGCAGCAGTAATTGACCAGTGAGTTACTGTTTTAAAAAGGGGAAGACATGTAGTTTGGAGGGGACATGTGGGCACTGCTTCTGGAGAGGTTGGAGGGAGACTGTAGGGGTGCATATGATCTTATAGTTTACACATATATGGACTTCTCAAAGAATACATTTAACATATAACTTAGCTTTAAAATGAAAAGAATGGAAGGTAGAGTTACTTGTAGTGGACAATATGAGAGCAAAAAAGAACTGCATAGGAAGCAGGAGGAGAATCAGCGTCGTGCAGAGCGGGGCTGGAGAGGGATGCAGTGACGGGGCTGGAAGCACAAACACACCCTTGCTGCACTGGGACTGGGCACCACCAGCTTTTCCCTCCGTCACGTGTGAACAGGACTTTTTACTTGCATGCTTGCAGTAGAAACACAGTAGTCAGAATAACCTGAATAATGTCAAGGTCTGTACTACATGAATGCCCTTCTTCCACTTAGAAATGTGTTAAATTAGAAATAATCTTCGGTTGATGGAGGAAGGTCATTGGCTAATAAAGGAACTGCCTTGGCCCATTTTATTGGTTGGAAGATAGGTGGGAGGAGTAGGCAGAACAGGACGCTGGGAGGAAGAGGAAGTGAGCTCAGATTCCACAGCTCTCCTCTCGGGAGCAGACGCCTCAGCAGAGACGCCATGAAGCTCCGACCCAGGATGGACTAGGCTAGAATCTTCCCGGTAAGACCGGTTCTCACAGATTATTAGAGATGGGTTGATCGGGATATCAGAATTAGCCAGTAAGGGCTAGAGCTTAAAGGGCCAAGCAGTGTTTAAATGAATACAGTTTGTGTGTTGTTATTTCGGGCATAAGCTAGCCGTGCAGGCGGCTGGGGTGCTGGGAACGCAGCCCCGCCACCCTTATTACTACATTCGGTCATACAAGTGAATTTTCACAAGCAATGAAGAGTGGATGCCCACCAGGGCATTATAAACATTATATATGTGCAGGCTTCTACCTGGCAGCTCTTTGCCTGCCTCCACAAGTGCTCCAGGCCTTGGAAATTGATATCGAAGCTACAACTCTGAGTTCTGGAGTCCCTAATTCAAAAGGGATTTAAATGGCTATTTTACACAGATAAGACTGACGTAAAAGAGGAATACATAGATCATAGATGTATAATTTAATACTCTTATTATGGCACCATTTTGAAATCAGCTTCAATGAGGAACAATTTGAGCATGATAAAATACACCAGCTTTAAGGTATTAAAAAGCTAGCAGTTTGATAAGAAAGCATGATTTCCCCACCACACTGGAGGACATTTCTCTTGCCCCAAACGGTTACCTTGCAGTTACTCCCAACCAGAAGCACCATCCAGTTTTGTTGCTCATACTAGAGGATAATCTGGCCAGTACTAGAGTATCATTTGAATCAAATAAATCTAAAGTGTAAAGTGTTTGTTTACATCTGGCTTCTTCCATCCACCTTACCATCACATTTGCCCTTAATACATAGTTATTCTAATGATACTATGGTTGGTATCGGTTGGAGTTATTGTGGACAAAATGCCATCCATACAATAAGTTAAATGGCTAATCGGAGAACTTCATCATTCAGCTGGAATACCATGGGCGACTCTGTAGATGGAAATAAATCTACCCTGTGGAAAATAAGTGATAGAGCTTATTTCTAAGTAGCAAAGAAGAAAACATCTTATGTGAGAAATTATCACCAAAGCAGTTTAAATATGTGCTGAATTTCACAAGAAGTAGAAGCACATCATTTCTTGGGTGTGTTCACTTCAATTAAATCCTAAAGGTTGTTTTTGCGAAGAATTTACAGTTTCAAAGTATAAACTACAAGGAAAGAAAACACTATGAGTAACAAACAGCTGCAGAGGAGGAGAGAAAGGAAGGTGGGAAGGGGTGTGGACATATAAGGAAGTAGGGAGAAAAAAGAAATGCAAGAAAGATAAGGTAAATCATTACCAGGTATAGCAAATGCCCCAGAAGTTCTGTCTTCAGACATAGAATAGCAGTCACATGGCTTTGGCGTCAGAAATGTGATAAAATCTGGAGAGTGTGAGATGCTGAACTAGTTAGTTACAACCTTGGTCACAAAAC